GGGGAGAGGGTGTCTGGCTACAGCTTGATGGCTCTTTGCTTCACTGGGAAGTTTGTTCCACTTTCCTGCAAGTGTCAAAAACAACTATGAATATTTAAGGACAAGAGATAAACAAGCCCAGAATCAATATTTATGCTCTATTCAGGGTTATTTTTTTTAAATATTTGATCCCAGTTTCTGGTGAGAGCTCAACTCCAACAAAGTCTCCATGAAATAGACTTACATAATGGATCATATCTTAGAATATAAGTGGTGGGAGACATATGTTTTTTACTCCACTGACTTGTTCCAAGAGATCTGAAACCCTCAAACTCAAGTTTCTAGAGAACAGGCAAGAAATGTTACTGGGAGTCATGGAACTGAATACGAGGGGATGGATCAAAAGACAAAGCTTATTATAAGGGAAGGTAATTACTTCACAGCCTCGGAAATGCTGAGCCTAATTTTACACAACATAGAAAGAATAACTGATAGCTAGTCGATATATTTCATCATCTTCAATTTCTGAACCTCACCATGACATCATTTAGGAATCAGATTAGTGGACATTTATGGTTTTGAGACAATTCTAAGAAAAGTGACAGCACCAAAGAGCATTTTGACAAAGATCCTGCTTTTAAGGGTTACATAAAAATGTTATTAAATCTTCCCACACTACTGTAGCTGGATTAGAAACAAACAAGAAGGATTGCATGGAGTATATCTCATTTGAACCTTTTGAATATTGAATGATAACAGTGATTTGATTGTTGTGATTTTGGAGTTTTAAACCAGAGGTTAAAATGAGATCAGATAACAATATAACACTAAAAAGTAGCCACAATCCCCAAATCGTTCTGTGTTTTATAGTCTGTTTTTCCACTGAACAGCACTAAGAATGAACTGATCAAACTGAAACACAAGCCAGTGTGGCTATAAATGTGGCAAATAAAAAGCACAGACTACCCACATTTCAAGAGTTTCAAATGAATCCCAAAACAAATTAACTCTACCCATGGAGTTAATGGGTATCTAGCGTCTCTTTGACTGTTTCCAGCATGCAGCTCGCTCATCTTGAATTTCCACCTTGGTGGATTTGATCAATGAGAGCATATAATCTATCATTAGCAGTTACCGTTCACTGCAGTCATTTTGATATAAACTAACCATGTAGCATCCCGACAGCCTGACGTGCCAGTGGCTGTCGTTTTAATTGTAAATTATTCTGCGAGCGTGTCAGGACATGAGCGGGCACCACCTGCTAAACCCAGTGTGAAATGACAGAGATGTGCATCACGGGTTAGAGTTTATGCAGTTTCTCATAAATATTACACCAAATGGCTTCAAATTAGAAGCTTGTGTTCCCACTGAAGTGTTAAAATTGAACTCATCTTGGAAGGTTAAATCATCAGTTTAAAAAAAAGACAGAACTGTGCTCTACATCTACTGATCAGAGCTATTTCGGGGACTGTAAATGAAAGAAAAGTGCTCCGGAGAGGCCACAATGACCTGGAAATGTTTTTCAAACCGCAATAAGATTAGTCGCCTCTCCGTTGCTTTAAGTTGTTTTCGCATTTGGATTTGGATTTCTTATACATCATAAGAAGATAATGTTCCCACCATACGTAAAGTGGCTGGGTGTTAATCGGGTCAGTGGGTTTAATGAATGAAAACGTCCATTAGCCTGTCAGAAATGGTTTTAGCTGGACGGATTGTGTGGGAATAAGTGCGGCGCACTGCCCGACAATTACTGTCTCTTAGGAGTTGGACAAAAATCTTAGAAATACAAGTTATAGGAACTATTGTCACACTATTTTTTGTTTTGTGCCGGATCGGTATAAAGACAATCTGCTGTAAAGTTCATGTTGATAACGCCTTTCTGACAGACGTGGTGATCTCACTCTGGTTTTTGTGGAGTAAACGTTTGATGGACATTTCAGGCAGACACTTGAGCGAGTGAGTGGAAAATGACAGCTTTTTAATCTCTCTTATTTTCCCTCCGACAAGCGCGCTTTTGTCGCTCCCGGAAAAATAATGACGGGTCAAACAGGTTAGATCCCACATGGAGGCACTCACGGTTAGTGTGTATTCTGGAGGACGGGGCTCAAACAAAAACAAATGGCACTCTGTGACAAGCGGTTATTTGTTTGGAGGACTTCCTATTTAAAAAAAAAACAAAAAAAAACGCTGTTTTTAAGTGATTGACTGGTTTAATCCCTCATTTCAAGCTTCTTTTGACATTCTTAAAACGCATCTAATAAACCCTCACACTGTATTTTGATTTATAACAGTCATCGCTTAGCAAGAAAAACACATTTTCTGACTTTACCCATGAACTGTACGATTGAACACCAGCGCAAAATCAGAGGGCGAAACAAGGAAAACGGCACAAGGTACAAAAGTCGCGGCAAAAAGATTGATGTCACGTCATGTGGGTTGCTGCTCTCTACGAAAGCTGAGATCAAATGCACCGTAATGGCGTTTTGGGCCTCATTTCTCAGACGCCGCGGCGGTGACAGAGACTGCTTCCGATAAACATCCTTCCCCAATATGTCACTTCTTGACAGGGGGGGGAAAGGAAAACTTTCAGGAGGACAAATGTGACAAGCTGAGCTTTTCGGAAATCAAACGACTCGGGACGAGTAGGGCTAAACATCAAATAAGACACCAGATGATGATGATGGTGATGATGAACTGACGGGACATAAATCAATAGATGCAGACAAAGAGCTAAATGCTCAGAAAAATTAAATGGAAACACTGCTAAAGGCCTCGGGTCTATATACAGGACTGTCTCAGAAAATTAGAATATGGTGATAAAGTTCTTTATTTTCTGTAATGCAATTAAAAATCATGAAATGTCATACATTCTGGATTCATTACAAATCAACTGAAATATCGCAAGCCTTTTATTGTTTTAATATAGCTGATTATGGCGTACAGCTGAAAAAAACTAAAAAAACCGATATTTTAATATTTTGAGATAGGATATTTGGGTTTCTTAAGATGTAAGCCATAATCAGCTATATTAAAACAATAAAAGGCCTGCGATATTTCAGTTGATTTGTAATGAATCCAGAATGAATGACATTTCTTGTTTTTTAATTGCATTACAGAAAATAAAGAACTTTATCACAATATTCACATTTTCTGAGACAGTCCTGTATAGTCAAATCTATGAATGGTTCAACTCCGGTTCAATGGGTTCAATGGTTCAAGAGGCAAAGAAAAAAACATTAGCTTGTCAGTAATGTAAGGTAAAAGGGTTTTCCACTCACTTGCGCCCCACCGTGCTCCCGTTCCTGTGTATGCAGGTCACCTCCCGGGTCTGGTAGCCCACCTGGATGTCCCAGAAGGGGCTCTCTTGGCGGTTGAGGCGGTTCCTGTTGCGCTTCTTCTGGATGAGCTCCCTGGTCTCGGGGTCTTTGACTCCGCCCCGGTCCCTGAGGCCCTGCCCTTTTCCCTTCCTGCGTTTTGCCTGCCGCGCCGTGCGGGTCTGCGGTAGGGCGCAGGGGCTCCAGGCTCCCACCCTGAGGCTGTGCAGGCCCTCGGGACCCGTGCAGGACCCCGGCCTGCAGGACTGGAACTCGGTCAGGTTGGGGCAGCCGGAGCCCCCGAACAGCGGAGGGACCAGAACGCTGCGCACTCGGTTCCTGAGGCCCGTCCCGCAGGTTTTGGAGCAAGACGTCCACGGGGAGTACTCGGAAACCACGCAATCCTGAGGGCAAGGGATCAAGCAGGCCTGCTCCAGGCGGGGCATGGGCTCAAAGTACTCGCAGATGGCGTCCTCCGCCGGAGACCCGTCCGATACGAGGATGCAGCCCACCTCCCGGGTCTGGATGCCCTCCTCCCCCCCGCTGCAGGTGGCGGGCCGCTGGGCCCCGAAGGTCCTGGCGGACACCGGCACGCACTCGTTCCAGGCGCCCAGTCTCCAGTCGTAAAGGTCCTTGTGCCAGTCGCACACGCGGAAGCAGTTCCTCTGGTTGGAGGGGCGCTGGTTCTGGTCGCAGTTGGTGTGGAGCGTCGTCCAGCCGTCCACGTGGGCGCACCAGACCGCCCGGCTCTGGCTGCCGCCCGGGCCACAGTCGCTGCCCATGCACCTCCCCCACGGACCTGAGGAAAAAAAAACACAAAAGAACAGCTTTAAATCTCGAAAGAGGAACGGGACAATAAACATTTGGGTTTCAGATGTGATTCAGGCAAAGACACTCGGAATGAAACCTGAAGAGGGAATTCATTCCAAGCATCAACGAACTGTTTGGATAAAGGAAGGGGAAGAAAAGATAGATAAGATAGAGATACTAATATCTAGAATTCATGGGAAAATGCAAGGGCCACTGTAGAGATTGTAGATAATTGAGGGGAAGTGCCTGTAAGCCAAATTAGATATTTTTTTCGTCATCTGTGGCATTTCACAATCTCTTTCAAATTATAACAAAAGAAATATAATAATCAATGGAAATTATTATTATTCATTCTCCCTGTCAACCAACTTACAAAAGATTCAATAACAAGTCCAATAAGAGGACAGGAGTTGGCTGTGACCTATTAAATAAAGTCCCTGATTGATAAAATTGGATTTTTACTCTTTTTCAGGTGTTTTGGGATATGTGTGAACTATGCTGTAACATTTAGCCCGAATATAACATCAACAAAGAAAAACTCTCTCGGGATCTCATAAGCTGTTATTTCCTGGAAAAAAAGCTATTCAAAGCTGCTGGTGACTCATCCCGCACTCAGGGGCACCAGCTAGTTTGAATCCAATAAAACGCTTCCTATTACTTCCATGTCCCTCTCCATGACGATAAACAGAATAAAAAGAAGCGGGTTTAAGTCGACAAGTGCTGCGCAGAGCTGTCTTTAGACGCACGAGGGCTTAGAAGCTACCCATGGATTCACGGGTTTCATGACATGGATTCTCACATCTGGAAATGAATGAAAGTCTTTGGTCATCTATGGGCAGGAGATGTACAGCTAGTGGATCAGAAGTTCTCCGTTTATGGCCAATATCAGCCTTAGGATTGACTTCCTCTCTGGCAACAATGTGATTTGACTGATTTTAAGACGGCAGGAAAGAAAAAAAAAACTCATTGGTGTAGAACGCTTTGAAGAATTGAGCGAGCGAATGAGTGGAGAAAATAGAAATAATTAGGAGTACAATTCATTCGGATCATTCTTAGATTGTTTTTTCTTCTTTTAAGCGACAAAATGGTCAAATCCAAATTGTGTTGTCTGTCTGTTTATTGCATTGGTGTCCAAAGTCGGCCTTCACATCAATGTGCCATTAGCAGACTGTGCAGACCCTTCCTGATTGGCCAGCCGTATATTTGAAAAGGTATATAGTACATAGCAATATGACACTTTTCAAAATGATACATTTAGGACTACCAACAAAATCTATTTCATGTTTAGGTTTTAAATTGATGGGGATGTTAATTTACTCCTCCGAAAGAGCAGGATGAGCTCTCCATGTTTCTTTTTTTTTTTAACGTCACCATCCTGTAATAGCAGAACTCTAAAATGCCAATAAGAATATGGATTTGTGAAGCGGATACCTCTGCATAGCGGATGTAAATGGTAAATGGAAGGTACTTATCGCGCACTAATGCCACATTGACAAACTTACTTCCACACTCGTGGTTCACACAGTGCTTTTGTCCTCACGCACACATTCATACCATGAATGCATCAGCTAGTAACTTGGAATTCAATTTCTTGCCATAGGTTGCTTTGAACAAAGGACATACTTACTGCTTTATAGCCCATGCATGTGCACGTATAACATAAAACAGCATAGATATGACAAAAAGCAAAGGTTGGAATTTACTTGATGGGGACTTTAAGCCTTTTTAGTCTGCAGAAATCACAAAAAGTAAGACAGTAAGACACTTTTATTCTCCCTCCCTATCTGTTTTCTCTCTCTCTATTTATAAGTTTCTGTCAGCATGAAGCTTTCATCACCGTTTTACAAATAGCCGTATTGTATAAATAGGTTCTCGAGCCATTTTTTTTTTTAGCATTTTAATCTAAACGAGCTTATCTCGATGGAATGAAAATAAAAAGTTGTCTCATATTGAATTTTTCCATAAAGGGAACACGGCTGACAGCAGGAAAACAATCTCACCCCAGTGAGCTCAACACAGCGGGTAGTTGAGACATTTTGAAAAGCATTAGCACTGTGTGGGTGAACTCCGACTGTGATACTACAAGGGGTAGCAAATCTAATTAACTTAGAGGCTTCAAGTTTCAATTTACTTTCATTTCTCCGCTAAGTGATGGTATTGATAAGCAGGATGAGCCCGACTGGGTCCATCTTAGGATGGGTCTGAATAACTAGCTCTCAACACAAACGAAAGCTTTTTAGAGCTTCTTATGAGTCAGCCATCTTTGTTTTAATGCACAGTTAATATATTCCACATGAATCACTTGACTTTTCCAAAAATGTTATTTTGAGTTTTCCTCAGAGAAATTTGAATTCATCTAATACAAAAACTTAGTAGGTAGCAAAAGAAAAAACTTCCTCTGTCGTATAATTAGTCCAAGAAAGAGGCGATAAGATAAGATATACTTTATTAGTCCCCATTTGGGAAATGTCTATGTTCAAAAACAATTTCATTGCACAACTCAAGGACTCTGCAGGTTCAAGGATGTGGAATCTGACAGACTGTCAGACTTCCCAGCTGCTATTAGAGGGCTCTACTCAACAATTGTGTTGTTAATTATGTATCATAGACACGCAAATCAACCCGATGCATGTCAGAGACATTCAGATTCCCTTTTCATCTTCACGCTCCTTTAAATGCAATGCAGCACATTACAACACAGTATTGAAACATGGCCCCTTATTGCTCTACTGTTAAGTAGCCTAAAGCTAACTTTTCAATATTGCACGCGGTCTGACAGCATCATCTGGCATTCTGACAACAAACTGGGTTTCACCTCAATTTGTCACATTTGTTAACGGACAAGAGTCGCAGAGAGATCAAAGACTCATCCTTAAAGCGTAAAAGAATGCGCATTTTAAACAAGTTGTGGACTTTTTTGTGTTTTCATCTGTGACACTTCCTTGTAAAACTAACCCATGTCCAATAAAACAAACACAAACAGAACATCATCTGTCTGAGTATCAAATTTTTATACCATCCTTCACCCATCTTAGGGAATCTCTTTGTCTGATTGGTCACATGCAAATCTAAACGTAAATGACTATAACATCCAAGCTAAAGAGTTGATTTCTAATATCTCGAGTCGGACACTATGGCAGCGGTACACGACATTTAAAAAGCGAGCAGAATAAAACATGGTAACAACATAATAGAGTAAATCAAGTTTCAAGTTAACCTTAGTTCACTTCTGTTCGGAAGCAGGGACACGACCTCTCTAATGCCCCGGTGAGCCGTCTTAAACCTGCCTCTCATCCACATAATCAAACACTCCACTTTACACCTCTGACATCACTCATGGTCATGGCACGATCCTTCCAATTGCAATGAGGAAAAAAAAACAGAGCCCCCACATGTTAAGTGGTGGAATTTACAGCAGAAATGTCCAGCTACCAGTATGACTTCAACTCTAAAAACAATGGAAGGGAACAAGTTAACTAAGGCAGGACAGGTAGTCAAAGTCAATTACAATTTACCACAATGAATCCAAAAAGAGACCGATAATAACAATATTTAGAAAAAATGGATGGCAAAGCCTGTTAAAAAAAAAAATCTTTTTTTTTATTTTTTAGACAGACTGAAAAAAGTGAGCATCGATGTGACAAGCAGAAACTCGCAATACCTGGGTTACAAAGAGCAAAGGGTGCTCAGCATTTACGTTCCAAGAGACTGAATCCTGACAGCTAAATCTGCACGATGCAGCAGATGACTCTGCATGGCAGCCAGCCAGATGGCCCCCCCCCCCGCCCATAGCGCTCCATATTATGATGGTGAAGTCAAGGGGAGATATGATATTGTAAATGACAGTGCTCGGCTCAGTTTTGGGACATTAAACTTAATTCATGTCTTCACATGCTGAATTATGAGCATTAATTTAGTTCAGTTTTAAGTTGCATGACCTAGACTTTTTATAAGTTCTTCAAAGGAAGCACAAACAAGCTCAATTGAGGCTTTGTGCTTTAAAATGTGGGCCAAATAGAGCTGAAGTCAAAGTGAAGCCGTTTCTGAACCCGTGTGGTTTAGAAGCTAACTTCCTGAGGCAGCAAATCCCTGACAGATAATCGTGTTTTTTTTATGCAGCGTGCGGACGGCAGCGTGCACGTGCACAGTGCACAGCGCACGGGCAGGGTGTGAGGCGTCCCGCGCTCCCGTTCCATAACGCCGCCTTTGTCGTTTGTGGATCGGTGCCATTCACAGGCAGGCCCCGGTGGACAATGGAGCCAGAGATGTCCCGGGCTTCCACAAAGCAGCCGAATCCCGACGTCTTTTAAAGAAGTTAGATTTAGAGTTTGAGGAGAAATCTGAAAAAGTGGAATTGAACCTTCAAACCGGCTGCTTTGAAGACACAGGTTGTCAAGATAGTGTTGTTGTGCGCTGTTCCTGTTGTGTTTCGACCAAAGATTTTTCCCACATATTTCAGTAACGCCTCAGGAAATATGTGAACCCCACAAGCAAAGGGTAGAACACCTCATCTGTAGCGACAGTGGGAAAAAAGAACAAAAATAAAAGCGATTAAATGTCCTGGAAGCAGTTTTGTCTCTATTGTGTCAGCCATTCCGTCTTTAATTCCGATTTGTTTTGCTCTGAGCCTCTCGGAGCCCTGGACAGGTCACTTGGGTGGCCAAACGTGTCCTCTCGGAGATCCTTTCTGTGCTGAACGCGGAGCGTAATATCCTCGCTGTGGAAAGTCTGATCTCTGGCTGGGGCCTCAAGTGTCTATTTAATGAACAGTGTCTCTGTCCCCGCGGGGTCAGACTCACTAATGAACGGGTCACCGTGTTCCTCTCCTTCTTCTCCTGTTTGTTTATTATTTCCTCAAATCCAGAGCATCTCGGCAAGGTGGGCCCTTTTCTCTCTCGGCAGGATCAGGGTTCATCACAGGATCGTTTCTGCTGTCTGGCTGCCGCTTTGGCACAATTTTACAGTCTGTGGACGTGTCTCGACTGCAGGATCAGTCAATACGTTCCCAGATAGAGAATTCTGAGAGAAAAGAGTTGGTGTGAAGCATCCAAAGTTTTGGGAGAAAAAACGAGGGGGAAAAAACTTTAATAATACATTTCCACTCATCTCATCTGAAGTCTATCAAAACTCCCACGCTCTGCTCTCAGGGCGTGTCTACATGCAGGTGATCCCAGGGGTAAAGTGACTTAATGTATATGCCGTGTAAACTGAAGGTCTCAAAAGACCGAGAATGTCACCCGGAGCACATGTTCAGCTAAAATGTCAGACTAAATCAAATCTCAGAAAGACATCTTCGAGAGAATTGACGTCATGGTAGCTCACAAGGCGTATTTTAGCATTGCGAGGGTAGCTTAAGCATAAATAATTCCACATAAGCTCCACCAAGTGCGACTGAGGGTTGATCTACGAGTTCTTCGATAGCTGTCGAACATTCGGTTTCCTGGTTCGAGGCTCGGCGTCGGCGTTTGAAACAGCACGCTCCTGAAACGCGAGCCTCCGAAAGGCTCTGAGGCTTTTAGGGCTGAATTAACGCCGCGATGCAATAATTGCGTGTTTGCATAGCCTTTGGGAAAAGTGAGCATTACCGCGTTGAACTCGCAAGCATCGAGTCGCATTAAGCTCCGCGACCGCGTCGGTTTGCCAAGAGCTAGGAAAACAAATCTGCTGTGCATGAGGCCAGACACACAAAAAAAAACAAATGCGACATTTTTGTGCAGTCACTGTTTTTGTCTCGTGGACTTTGGGCCCTTTTTTGGGCTTCAACGGCCCTTAAAAATCAGAGCGCACCAGAGGTTATCTCGGAAAAGAGTCCAATTCAAAAGAGAAAGAAAGAACCCGACCAGAGGCTAAGACACAACATCTAAAGAAACACTTTGAGGAGCTTAGCATTCATGGAAGATTGTTAACCCCGGCCTGCTTCCAGTGTGATAGGTGCCCCTAAAGCTCTCCGCTCTCACTAGATCTAAATTTCATTAACTGTAACACCCTGATTATGCTTGCATGGCTTGAAGGAGCTTCTTTGATGACTCCTTATTCATCACGTCCATGCAGACATTTAAACAAGTCACACAGTGTTAAAAAGCCCCTTCGTTTTTATCTGCGCTCCTCTCTGCATACGGAATCCGCATTATAACCCAATAAGAGCGAGCGGGAGCTTCCGTAAAATCGTTTAATATGCTCATTAACTCAAAATTGACTTTTAAGTTAAATGTTGAATGTCATAAGAATGAGGCTGGTTTAAAGCGTCCTGCAAGTCTCTTTGCATTTAGATCACTCTTTATGTCACTGTTGAAGAGGCAGTAACCTCGGCAACTTTAGCAGAGGTTAATATTTGCTGAAGAAGCTTTTCTTCAGACCTCGCCCCCCAGCCCTGAATTTTCAGTAACCTTTGTAAAAAAGGGAGTACATCCTTTTCTGTGGTTCTCCAGCTCTTTGAGGTTCGCAGCTTTGGTTTGTGCACAGCTCTCTGATGGCAAACCCCTACTTTTGCTTTTATCATTACTCAATTGTAATCATTTTCTAACTTATTCCACTAATTTATAAAAAAGTAATAAGGGTCTAACTATGTTTGAGAAACTAGAGCTGCATTTTTGCACAGTTCTGTCTGTAATGTGTGTTATCTTCATCCTGAGGTTGCAAGCATCTCATTTTAAGACTTGTTTGTAACTTCTCTTATATCTAAATGACAGAATAAATGCAGTAACAGGATTTATTTCGGGGAAAGGAATCATTTAAAAACGGAAGACATGGCGTTATGATGTCATTTTAAACAATAACTACCCTCCCAGCAGACAACTCAACTGGATCTTAAGCAGTTTTTTTGGTTTGTTTGTGCAAAATTTCCCTCCGCATGAAGTAAAGCAGAACATTTTAATTCCTGAGCATCTGGAAGTCACCAGAAGCAAAAAAGACTTGACGAGCACCGAGCCAGACTGAGAAACAGAACCCGGAAGACAGGGTTGTTTTTCCTGTTGTTTACAGATAGGTTTGTTTGTTTGTTTGTTTGTTTGTTCGCTCATAAACAGCCCCAGAGGACGGATGAGTGACAAGATAAACGAGAGAAAACATGCTAACACCCACGTGCTTCGTGGTGACGATCGCGGCTGTTGGCAACATCAAATGAATTCTGTCATTTTTCTCTGAGCCGAAGGGTCAGAGCGAGGAGCCGAGCACCTGGGGAACAGTTCACGACGCACATCCTCCGTTCGTCCTCGGGACAACAACAACCAAAAAGTCTCTGACTTCAAATGAACCAATCTTACATCATAAATTCGACGGTTCATAAGCAGCTCGGAAGCGATGATTGAAAAAAAGGTTGTCATTGAAATGTTTCTCCAATAAAAAATGGCTTCCTCACAGACCCAAAAATGACAGACAAATGACTGACAAACAAATAAACGCAACTCAGACAAAGTCCAGAACTTTGGCTTTTCGGAGAAGAATGAAATCATTTATTGCTATGAATCTGAAGGAATGCTTTATTCTCAAATGCCCCGGTTTTTTTCAGCCTCTCTAATCCAGGTTAGACGCATCAAAAGCTGTGCACCAATGGTTGTCGAGGGTTGGATGCGTGGCTTGATGCCTCTCCACCAGCAGACGTGTTCCCAGTTCGAGATCCTCACAGATCTCCGGCTCACTGTGGTGGCTGGCAGCTGTCACTCTACCCTCACGCCGTCTAATAAAAACATAATGTGCTCCCTTTTAAGCCCAGCATTGAGCAGACAAGGTTAGCTTTTTTTTCTACTCCAAAGAAAACGCTCTGATTTTTGTCAGACGGGTTGCGACATCTCCCTTTATTTAGTCTTTATATGGTCTGTGGCATAATCGCACTTCCCTTTTTCCCTTTTAGCATGCTAACTTCTCTCTTTGGACCCGAAAATATTACATTAAAACTTACACCTAGATAAGTTTCATTAAACAAATTAACAAACTACATCTATAAAATCTTTATATTCTCAGGAAACCCAGTGAAGATGATAATGTTACAATTCCCTCCTTTATTGATAAGTACACTTGTATTATAATGTGATGTTTTAATCCTGTAGTTACTCCCACATGTACGCGGGGACAATTATTACTGAAATAAAACAGGAACTGGGCACAGCTCTATGCCTACATCCTCACGGAGTAAACACAGGTCAGTAAATCTGCGTCCACATATCTGACAAAGAGCGGGAATACCAGCCAGTACCAAACAGAAATAAAATACTAAGGAGGACTCCTTCTTAAGGCTTTTCATTTTCCGCATCCTTGTTGTGGTTAGTGAGACGAAGGCATTTCTGCTGGCCAAGCGGATCAGAGCGCTCTGAAACCGTTTGTGAGACACGAGCATCATCTCAAAAGA